CAAGCAGCCTCCATGTCTCCAGTGTCTTCTTCCCCACTTGGAGCTGAACCCAAAAGGACATTTCTTTCAACAGGATGAAAACTAATCAAGGAGAGATTCAGCCTAGAAATAAGGAGAACATTTTCTGACAGTGAGAAGTCAACCAATGGAATGGCTTCCCTTCAGAGAAGTTGCAAGGGTGGCATTGCTGGAAGCTTTCAAGAAGAGATTTGGGACAGCCAACTGTCAGAAATGGTATAGGGCCGTGATGGCACATGCAGAGCCTCTCTGTGGGCACATGTGCTGTCGCCAGCTTTTGGTTTCTGGCCCACGCATGCATGCTGGCCAGCTCTCTTTGCATGCACTGGAGTGCCGGAAACCCCAAGACCAGCTGGCTGGTGCGCATGTGTGCCACAGTCACCTGGTCTTTGGGTTTTGCACGATATTCTAATTTTTCGAGTTTCACCTGTAGTTAAAAGAAGGACTAGTGGTGACATGACAGCAGTGTTCCAATATTTGAAGGGCTGCCACAAAGAAGAGGGGTCAATCTATTTTCTAAAGCATCAGCAATGCTTGAAAACTAATGGAATGAGATGCCTTCAGACATTGTGGGTGCTCCATCACCAGAGGCTTTTAAAGAAGAGACTGGACAGCCGCTTCTCTGGAATGGTATAGGGACTCTTGCTTGAGCAGGGGGTTGGCGTAGAAGTCCTCCAAGGTCCCTTCCAATTCTGTTATTCTATGCTGATTGTAAATCTATAGGTTGGGAGCATAAATTATGAACAATTTAGTCCAGGGAAAACAAACATGCAGGAATAGAGATGGGAAAGGTTATTAACTTAGTCATTCAAATATAGATCTGTAATATTATAGCTATCCTTGTGCATCAATGAGCTGATTGGTATATGCAATGTGATTTTTAAAAATAACGTTTTATTTTGCTGTTACAGGTTTGTTAAACCTCTTAATAAATTTGCCCTTTGAAAAATGTTTCATTTGATTGAGAATGCCCTCTTAAATGCAGAGATTATGTTCCTAGGATGTTTAAATGATTCTGTCAGGTCTGCATTTATATTCCTTTTAGAATTTTGGCCTGTCACACTTTCTCTAATTTCATTATGCTGTTTCTTTA